CAATATGTACGTAATAGAAACCGCACCCCGAACTTGAGCTTTTGATCCCAATTTTTAAATTGATACATTGTAATATAAACCGTGGTTTATAATAGGACTTTAACGGTAGTAGTTTCCTGTAGGATTACATGCATAAAATGAAATACGGAGAAAACATGGTTATGAAATGATAATTCTAAGAAGTATACTGTCAATAAATGTGATATGAATAAACACGAACATACATTATTCGATAAAACGAATGAATCCCGCCCACACATACTGATATTTCTGTAAATTACTTAAATACATTGTGTGGTGATACTGAGCAGCAAATGTTTATAACCACAGTTTCATCTATCGACAACCTTGTGCAGCAAGCGAAATTTCACAGTTACAACTGCAACCCAGTTTAATTAGTCCATGGCGCAACTTATGAAAACCCGTTGCAAACGAGGGCATGCATTTTGATGGAATTCAGCTCCCCATCTACTAAATAGCAAATTTCTAGTCAACTACAGAATTGGGTTTTGTCAACCGTCTGAATAGGCTACTTTGGCAGTAATATATGGGGAATTTGACAGAGGAGACATTCACACTAATCGAATCAAAACAAAATTGAAACTGAAACTGCTTTGCGAGAGGAAGTAGACATTTACGAATACCTCGAAGACAGCATAATTATGATTACCGTAAAAACTCGATTAATTCGCGGTCTCTATTAGTTCGCGCACCCATTTTATTTTCGAACGCTAATTTTTAAATGTATCCTTTTAATTCACGGCGTTCAAAAACATGTTTAAAATTGTATCCTATTAATTCGCGCGCCAGAATAAAGTGGATAACTCAGAATATATTGCATGAACATTAAAAATATACATATAATGTTATGTTATGTTATCAGTATTTGGTGTCGCCGCAATCGCAGATGATCTCCGTCATCACCGCCTTTCTGTTAGCAAGCAGTTTAGGTTCGGTAAAGATTTGATGTGAAAAAAAATCATTCCTCCACGACACTACAGATGTTGGGCAAGATTATTACTTAGTCGATAAATATCCATCGGTCAGCACATCGATTACGAATTTCCGTGATGGAAAGCTTGGTACATGGCTTTTTCGTCGCTGGTCCACAGGGTTGCATCGACCATGTGTCCGCCATTATTCTATTACGTCATTTAAGTGAACCGCCCTATGGTGCGTAAATTGACATTTTTGATTGGTCGGGCGATTGACCTCGTGTCACATTTTCATTATACCGGATTCGGTAAAAAACACGGAGTTAAGCGGTCACGTCCCTTCTATAAATCTAACCTTGCACACATAATCTTGTACTGACGTGTTTTTTGTCCAAGAAATACATTCCCTTTCATTTAACCCCCAGTTAACTCTTCGCGTCCATGGTATTTGTGAGAGTTGAAAGATTCTTTGAACAA